GCAGGAAACCCAAAGGAGGGAATTGTTCTTAATCAGTGTGTCATGGCCTTGACTCAAGGTAATTTGGACAAGTTCAAGGTTACTGACGAACTGGAAAATTCATTAAAAGTCTCTCGACCTACTTGTAACTGTGAAACATTGGAAGTTGATACCTCATACGAAGATTGCTTATAACCTGAGAATATGTCATGACCTTGACTCAAAGTCACAATTTCTTGTCCGCAGCTGCAACGGAAGACCTATTCGTTGCTTTGCAACGAGCTTTGCTTTAGTTTTGCTCGTAATTGGTATACATTAGCAGTAGAGAAACACTTATTTTCAGTAACACTGATTAATACTGGCTGTAAGATCGTGCCTTTTGATCTGTGTAAACAACCAGAAGTCTGATGAGACTGTAGCTCTACTGGTTTGTACATATAACAAAGGGAGATAAAAGTAGCACTTGGACTTGAAACTTTGCAACAGCAATAAATAGAATAATGATCCTTGGTTTATTCTATTTTGTGGTAAGATTTATTGCAGTCATCAAAACTGTAGGAGGAGTAACGTTTGAAAAGAATTTTAAAGAAATGTCGATTTTAGTAACCATGGCAACATCATTCAACAAAATTAAAAAAAAAAAAATTAAAGACAATTATGTATCTTGGTGTACTCTATTTGTGTGCCAAGTTAGACTGAAATCAGATGAAAACTGTAGGAGGAGTAACATTTTGAAAGTTTTTCACAAAAATTTCTATTTTTAGTAACACCGTTCACGGTAGCTCAGTCGGTAGAGCGCTCGCTCCGTGATCGGGAGGTCGTGAGTTCGAATCTCGGCCGCGACAGACCTAAGTCGATAAAAAATAGGTAGCAACTGTTCCTTCCATGCGCTCGGCACTTTGAAGTGAAAGTTGCGGGTCCTTCGGATGAGACCTTAAAAACCTAGGCCCCGTGTCACGGCAGGCGTTGGCACGATAAAGATCCCTCACTGCTCAATGGCCCTGAGTGCCGAGTAAAGGTCACCGGTATATGGTGACGTCTCTATACGAGTGAAAAATTCTCGAATGGGACGTAAAACAATATAAAATTAATCAATTATTTTTAGTAACCATGGCAACACCGTTCATCGAAATCCAAAACCGATATACAGAATTATGTATCTTAGTGTCGTCTACTTGTGTGCCAAGTTATATTGAACTCAAATCAAAACTGTAGGAGGAGTAGCGTTTTGAAAGTACTTCTCAGAAATTTCTATTTTAAGTAATCATGGCAACACCGTTCATTGAAATTAAAAAACGATACACTGAATTATGTATCTTTGTAAAGTCTACTTGTGTGCCAAGTTACATTGAAATCAGACCAAAATTGTATGAGTAGTGTTTTGAAAAATTGTTTACAGACGGACAGACAGACGGACGACAGACACCTTACTATCGCATAAGCTCCTCTGGTCTCTGACCAGTAGAGCTAAAAAATGGCCGAGAAAGGAGACAATCAAAGAAACCTAAGTGACATGTCTAATTTGAGTCATTATCAGATGTCATCAGGTCACTTAAAAAACAGAGGAATGGGTCTTTTGTCTGATCAATCACATATCATCATTTCCACCCCTCTGATAGAGCTGGATAGGTGGAAAGATCCAGCTCTAAGACCAATAACCCTTCAGGTGGTAAATGGAGAAGATATCGCACGTATAGCTACTGTTGTTAAGCTGTCTATTCAAAATGAAGTTGCTGAACTAGTGAGCTAACAAGTAGCAAAAGAAGTCCAGCCTCCTCGCAGAAAAAACCACAGACTCGAAAATCTAACAATGACCTACAACTTCAATTAGACGGCCGTCACGGCAGCTGAGTCGGTAGAGCGCTCGCTATGTGATCGGAGGACCGTGTGTTCGAATCACGGCCGCGACTAACCCAGTCGATAAATAAAATACGTAGCAACTGTTCCTTCGGCAAGCGCTCGGCACTTTGAAGTAAAAGTTGCGGGTCCTTCGGATGAGGCCCGTGTCACGGTATGCGTTGGAAATATAAAGAATCCTCACTGATTAATGGCCCAGATTGCCGAGTAAAGGTCTAAATTTGAAGCCCTTCACCGGTATATGGTGACGTCTCTATATAAGTGAAAAATTCTCAACGGGACGTAAAAAAACATACAATTAATCAATCAATTCAATTAGACGGACTAGAAGAATACAATCGTAGGCCTCAAGTTAGAATTGCGGGAGTTCCAGAGTATGCTAAAAACACTACTTACAGATCTAATTTTGGATGTTACTGCTAAGGCCGGAATTCCACTCCATCGAGATGATGTTGTGAATTCACACAGAGTAGGGGCGCCAAGAAATGAGCAAATAAATCAAGCTGGACGACCGGGACACAGACAGATAATTCCAGATTACGCTCTGTTGATTTGAAATTTGTGCTGATCTGAAAAGCTATGAAAGCTTAAAAAACACCCCCGAGACAAAGCATGTGATGATCAATTGGGATCTGAGCAAACGTAGAGACAAACTCCTATTTAGGTGTCGGCAGCTTTGCCGTAAACGATATAACAGGCTTGGTCATTCAACAGAAAAAAATCGTATTCATCACAACAATCAAAAAACACATCTCATCAGACATGAGAACGATCTCTGTCCGTTCAGCCATATCCCCCTTTCAACAGTGACTGCATTAACCCATGGCATCTATCCTAATCCTTATATATATATATATATATATATATATATATATATATATATATATATAAACCAACAATCAACATACAATTCTGCACTTTTAACCTGTTCAATTATTTCTAATATAGCCTTTAACTTTAAATTATCACTGTATAGTTTTGTCTACTCTTTGAAATTCTAAACTCATTTTTGTCCACCATAGTTTTGTTTCTTGCTATTTGTTGTACATACTTCGTTTTATGGGCTATGCTCATAAACAATCAGTCGCCCGCATGGCACAGTGGTTAGAGCGTTTGCTCTAGAGTCGCGGCGTAAGGAGTTGATCCTTACGTCGCGGGTTCGAATCCCACTGTGGGACGTGGAGACCGGTCCTTCGGATGAGACCGTATTAACCGAGGTGCCGTGTCGCAGTAGGTGCTGGCACGAAAAAGATCCCTCACTGCTCAGTGGCCCAAAGTGCCGAGTATAGGTCAAAATTTGCAGCTCTCCACCGGCAAGTGGTGGCGTCTCCATATGAGTGAAAAATTCTCGAGAGGGACGTTAAACAACAGTAAACAAACATAAACAATCAGTATTACAGTCATTACTGCATTTTCTTCCTTAATATACCCACAATGTTTACCCTTTCAACGTACCAACATTTACAACCGTAAATCCCGTTTTGTCTTTACTTACTTATCCCAACGTTTCTTATTATCAGGCCCGTAGGAAGCAAATTCTGTTTGGGGGGGGGGGGGGCACAGCCATACATTTTCAGTTAACAGTTGAGGGGGCACTACCAAAATTTTCCTGACAAGCAAAAAAAAAAAAAAAGGAGGAAGAGAAAGAATCAACTATAAAAAATTCCTTGCATATACTATCTATATTTACTATAGTAATCTATATAAAATTATTGGGGGGCACGCCCCCCCCCCCCCCCCGGTTCCTACGGCCATGAAATTATAACCCAATTTGGTTCAATTGTAAAACACATTGATATATATAAATGGTTTATGGTGGTGGCACTGTGTGCTTATTTTTAGATTTATGCGCAGCACTTTCTTAAAATAGATTCGGCTACTGTGCGGGTTCATGGCATAATATTTTTGTCCCTAGTCTATCTTTATTGATTGTATGTATGTTTACTGTTTGTCATTTATTTGACTTGTTTTGAATAAATGACCATTCTTATTCCTTTAAGTATGTGTTACTGTGTTACTGTTATTATTTCATGGAATCTGTCAAACAACATAAAACACATTGATATATATAAATGGTTTATGGTGGTTGCACTGTGTGCTTATTTTTAGATTTATGCGCAGCACTTTCTTAAAATAGATTCGGCTACCGCTCCGTGAAAGCACCTAGCTGTCATTAGTGGAACTTTCCATGCGCATGCGCATTGATTATTCATTGGCTGCAGTTATTCTCTAACCACCACCCTCCCCTCCACCTTTTGTATTCCTTTAAATATTGTTTAATACATGTACATACACTTTCATTTAGATCGAAAATGTTTCTTGATTATGCGTTTGTTTCAATTAGAACTCGGGGTGTTTGTTCATCTAACTGTATTTTTCTTTTTTAACATTGGTGCTTCTACTGTAAAGCAGATGACGCCCCATATTGTCTTTTGTTGTACATGTACACATGCTTACATTTAGAAATATGCAATTTTAGGACTCAGGGACGCTTTTTGTCTTGCGGTAGATTTTAACTCTGGTGCTTCTGTTGTAAATAGTATGTTTTTCTAGTCAGAGATGTGCATCGATCTTGCGGGTTCATGGCATAATATTTTTGTTCCTAGTCTATTTTTATTGATTGTATGTATGTTTACTGTTTGTCATTTATTTGACTTGTTTTGAATAAATGACCACTCTTATTCCTTTAAGTATGTGTTACTGTTAATATGATTTCATGGAATCTGTCAAACAACATAAATATTTTATTTGTAATTCTTGTTTATTTTTTGTTTATATTTCACTTATATTTTTGTTAGTCACTTTTTTTTATTACTTTATGTATACAATCTTTATGTCATGCAAGCTCTATATGCATGTATCAAGTAAACTTCAGTTTTATCAGTTATTTTCATGACATTGTAATATTTCAGGAAAAGAACCAGTAAGTTGTAAGAATTCTTTCCCAATCCTTTTGATATTTTCAATAAAATATGTTCAAAACAAAATCTTTTAAACTCTTACTCACACAATCCTTATTATAAGATATACATGTACAAAATGACAAGGTAAAGATGTTAGATTGACTTTAAAAGAAGTTAAATTCATTAAAGTGAAAACCCTAATGTATTCATATTCAAAATTTAATGCTTTATGTACAAAAACAAAAATTCTATGATCGATCAACCAGCTTATTGTTGTTTTTTTCAGTTGATTTTCCATCCTGCGAACGAGGATCTGCCGTGGGTGTTACTACGAATGCTTCCTATCGAAGAGTACATGGAATGAGTTCTCACGTAAACATCCTCTCCTTTGTTGACATGCGCAACGACAGTTGCCGTAGCCTGATCATCATCCTCGAGATGCGCGCGCAAGAATACACTTCCATAAACGTCTCCGTTGATAATTAGCTCCGTGGAAAAATTTTCCGCTGTCGTGTCGCCGTAATGATACAGTCGGATTGTCCAGGTAAACACGTAATAACCTTCCTTTGGCGCAATAAATACGCCTGAGCTTGGATGATAGCCGTTACCCTGATTTGTTTTCACCACATCATATTTCAGAGTTTCTGATAAACCTAAAGAGCTGACATCTGCAGAAAAATACGCATAAAATGCGACGATGTTTTCATCATCAGGGGTGGTTGATGTTGGTTGATAGAGAAGCCGTTCTGTAAAGCGTATTGACATCTATTAGGGTTTTAAAACAAGAGGCCCATGGGCCACATCGCTCACCTGAGTAACTTTGGCCATGCTGTTCTTTACCAGATTTCCTCCCTTTTAATATACCTATTGTGGCCCCGCCCTACCCCCGGGGGTCATGATTTGAACAATTTAGAATCTACACTACCTCAGGATGCTTCCAAATAAGTTTCAGCTTTATTGGTCCAGTGGTTCTTGAGAAGAAGATTTTTAAAGATTTTTCTTATGTATTTACAATGTAAAACTTGGATTCCCTATTATGGCCCCGCCCTACCCCCGGGGGTCATGATTTGAACAATTTAGAATCTACACTACCCCAGGATGCTTCCATATAAGTTTCAGTATTTCTGGCCCAGTGGTTCTTGAGAAGAAGATTTTTTAAGATTTTTCCTATATATTTCAATATAAAACTTGGATTCCCTACTGTGGCCCCACCCTACCCCCGGGGGTCATGATTTGAACAATTTACATTCTACACTACCCCAGGATGCTTCCATATAAGTTTCAGCTTTTCTGGCCCAGTGGTTCTTGAGAAGAAGATTTTAAAAATTTTTCTTATATATTTCAATGTAAAACTTGGATTCCATACTGTGGCCCCGCCCTACCCCCGGGGGTCATGATTTGTACAATTTAGAATCTACACTACCCCAGGATGCTTCCATATAAGTTTCAGCTTTTCTGGCCAAGTGGTTCTTGAGAAGAAGATTTTTAAAGAATTTTTCTTATGTATTTCAATGATTATTATTTTCTTGATTATCTCCCCTTGTAAGGGGACTTGGCCCTTTATTTTAACAATTAATACTCCCCTTCACCCAAGGATACTTTGTACCAAGTTTGGTTAAAATTGGCCTAGTGGTTCTTGAGAAGAAGTTGAAAATGTGAAAAGTTTACAGATGGACGGACGGACGGACGACGGACAACGGGTGATCAGAAAAGCTCACGAGCTTTCAGCTCAGGTGAGCTAAAAAGTCATATACGTAGAAAACATTTTTTATTAAATGTATCTCTGTGGAAGAAAAAAAATCAAGTGTTTGTGAAAAACTGATGCCCCCGTATGGCAGCTTATAACGAAAGTTAAACTTTCTCAAATGCAAATCAAATATGTTGGTACCCAAAGAAAGGTTTTTTTCTCGAAGAATATAGACTGTGAAATACGAAAGCCCTAGCACAATCATTGAAAAGATATAGAAAAGGTCAAAGTTTTTTAAAAGTGAGTCAAACATCAAGGTCATGGTCAAAATTACTGGTGCCCAAGGAAAGGCCTTCTCAAAAGAAATGCACATGTGAAATAGGAAAGCCGCAGCACCAGCCATTCAAAAGTTATGGCCAAGGTTAAATTTTTTCTAAAGTAAGTCAAACTCAAGTTCAAGGTCAAAGTTGTTGGTATTCAAAGTAAGGTCTCGTCACAAGGATTACATATGTGAAGTGTTAAAGCCCAAGTACCAACTGTTCAAAAGTAATGGCCAAAGTAAACGTATTTTTAAAAAGTAGGTCAAACTCCAAAGCCAAACGGTCAAAGTTGCTGGTATCCGAAGGAAGGGCTTGTCACAAAGATAACATGTGTGAAGTATGAAAGCCCTAGCACCAACTGTTCGAAAGTTATGGCCAAGGTTAATGTTGGGTAAAATTTTGCAAAACTGGGTCAAATTTCAAGGTCAAATATGATTGTACCCAGAAAAAGGTCTTGTCACAAAGAATACACATGTGAAATATGAAAGCCATAGCTCCAACCAATCAAAAGTTATGGGCAAGGTTAGAGCTTTGCGGACAAACAGACAGCTAGACAGACCAGGCAAAAACTATATGCCTCCGAAACATCGATTACTGGGGCATAAATACCACTATCTCCTTCCTCGGATATACCCCAAGTCTTTCAAGGAAGATAATCTAACATCTAATGATTTTGTTAACAGCTCAAAATTTATATAAAAAGTTGCCTGAAGGATACTCTGCTACCACGAGGGAGTTGAGGATTTCATACACCGAAGAAAAGTAACAGTGCTGAGAAGACCGGACAAAACGCTTCTAACTAGTGTCTTTTGGAGAGAAAAATCTTTTCTGTATAACATTGTGTAAGTGTTAGAAATTGATCCTTAAAGGACAATTTAAATAAATTAGATGAAAGATTTAAATGAGAAAGATGGCTGCCGATATTATCAGTGCCCTATCAGTGAAATCGGAGGGAACTATGGATTCCCTCTCCGCGACTGTCCGTCTCTCCTTTGTCTGTTTGTCCCAACTGGGTTTTCGGGACTTTTTTTCTATGCGCTTGCATATTACCTTTTTTTTTATTTGAATCTTTCTTGATTAGATCAAGTTCGCATTGAGGTATCGAGATTTTTACGGAATTACAGTTCAGTACTATCGGAATGCTTGTTAAGAATATGAATAGTTACAAACAAGAGAGAGCCCTTTGTTGTTTTTTTTAAAACAATCAACAATGTATTTTTTAAATACCTGAACGGCATTCAAACTAAATAGGGAAAATATTAAACTTATTTTGTTAACCACTTTTAATTTCATAGCTCCAGTAACAACTCTTTTTGCAGATTAAGGAAGTAAATAACCTGTCCTCCACTAGCAAGAAAATAAATAATAATGATCTTATATTGACCGCTGGAATCTACTCCCAATCTCAGTTTTCGAGTTTGGGTAGTTTTCCTTTTTTGGGAAAAATAAATGAGGATAAAAAAGAATAATAAAGAAAAAATGCTTCTTAAATGTTCTGTCCTGTGAGGGCATGAAAATAAATAACACTAACTCCACCCCACCCCCTTCTTTCCTTAAGAAATCACATGGTCGTCCCCTAAGTGAGTCATCAAATTTATGGATCCTATCTATTTTCTCTATCAAGTAATATAAGTAAAATGCTAAATGATTTTTCCCTGGAGGAAACATAGAATTAATTTAAGACATCAAGATGTCACTGACCTTTCTAGATAACATATGCTAGGAAATGACAGAAAAATGGAAGGAAATGTAAACACCTCAAAAACACAACGGGTGATTTTTACGTAAAAAAACTGATTTTATAGTCAATATGAAATTGCTGACATTCTAAGAGTGGGTCAATCGTATATTACAAGTAAGTTTCTTAGTGAATATACTGGAATGGGAATACGGAAAATAAACCTTGGAGTGAACCATGGCCTCGATGCATGGGGAAAGGGAAATTTTACTATGTGATTGTTTGCTATTTAACATCCCTTACTTGCAAGATTATTTCGCTCATTAGACATCATCGTAAGTCGGTGAAGGGCTTCAAAATCAGGCCTTCACTCGGGGCCACTGAGCAGTGAGAAATCTTTATCGTGAAAACGCTTATCCTGACACGGGGGCCTCGATTTTAAGTCTTATCAGATTGATTGATTCTATGTTGTTTTACGTCCCATTCGAGAATTTTTTCACTCATATAGAGACGTCACCATATACCGGTGAAGGGCTTCAAATTTCGATCTTTACTCGGGACTCAGGACCATTGAGCAGTATCGTGCCAACGCCTACAGGACACGGGGCCTCGGTTTTTAAGGTCTCATCCGAAGGACCCGCAACTTTCACTTCATAGTGCCGAGCACTTGGCGAAGTTGTGTTTTTATCGACTTAGGTCAGTCGCGGCCGTGATTCGAACACACGACCTTCCGATCACGAAGCGAGCGCTCTACCGGCTGAGCTACCGTGACGGCAAGGTCTTATCAGAAAGACCAGCAACTTTAACTCCAATGTGCTACCTATTTTTGATCGACTTACATGTAGGTTTCGCGTGGCCTGGGCTTGAACTAATGACCTTCAATTTACTGAGCAAGTTTTACTATGTGTAAAATCATGGAGACAGACAAAAAAACAATAGCAAAAATTTCCAATGAACCCATCATTTTTTTTGGGGGGGGGGGGGGCTTTTGTTTCCAGTCGAATTGTTAGGAGACGATTAGGTTTTTCTTTGGCATTACAAGGAGGAAAATTCACCAGACCCAGTTTACAATTTCCACAGAGAATACAAATCGTCTAAAAATTGCTTTCGGTGAAAACTTAGATTACGGGCCATGGAAAAATGTCATTTTAGTAACAAAATACAACTTGTCTTTGATCAGAATAGAAGAGTATACATGTTTGGAGAAGAGCGGATGAAGTCTAGCGATCTAATATCTACCAAGTTCTAGGCTTGTTTTGAGGATGCATTACCTGTGAAAGAATAGGTACATTTACTGAAATAGAAGGAAGTATTAATTCCAGAAAATATATAAATATTTAAGACTCAAATTTGCGGAGTCTTTTAGTTAGCCGTTTTCCTAAAGACCATAAATTATTTTAAGATGACAACAATTACAGGCACTTGTTTCGTAAACGAGTCACCCCCTCATTCTCCTTCTATAAGGTACCTCACTCAATTTCCGATATTCCCAACCTCAAACTTGCATACAAGTATTACGATTAATCTATCTTTCAATTACATGATTTTGAAATAGATCACTTTTTTTTTCTTTATTATTACTTTAAGCTTTACAGCTTAAAATTAGTATATACAATATAATACAATATACAATCGGATACAGTACAGAAGTGGATGATTTACAGGAGAACAATGTGTACGTACATAAATAATAATGAAATAAAAAGAAGTAAAATATTACAATTATTGGATTACAAGATCTCTTCGCCTCATGCTTTAATAAATATATTTACCAAGGTTACACATATCCTTTGTTACGTTTATACCACCCCAGTCATGTTATATTCGTCCTTATAATTATATATTATGTAATTAATATTGTATTATCTTATTTCTTTGTATGTCCGATGTGGAAATATCACTATACTATCGTTAATACTATTGTGTAAACATGTTTGTATGTATAAACGTAGGGTTACCCGAATTTCCTCTATAACAACATTTAGAATCATGCACATAAATATATGTGCGAGACTCATAAACCCCAATCCTTACCTTTATTATCTATGGCATCGTTCTCTAAGTCTTTTCTTTACAGTTCCCTACCATTATCCCCCATAACACACCCAATTACGTTTAAGGACCCTCTCTACACTGCACTCTATTTTCAGGGTACTTTTGTGTGATTAGACTGACCCACTGTTTTGACATCTAAGTAGAATAAATTGTAATCTGAACTGTATCACTTAATTTAAAATAAATCCAAGTATTCTAAACATTATATATAGACCAAGATAGAGTCTTTGAAAACTTTATTTGCATGTATTTTATCCATTTGAGTAAGCGAAGGCAATTTTTCTTTTCTATTACTTCATTGTCTTTGAAGATTTTTCCTGAATAAAAAAGGCACGCTCCCTATATTAAAAACGAGTTAGTTAATTTCAAAATATCCTCCTTTA